ATCGAATAAGCAATCACGTCAACCCGCGTACCAGTGTACTGGCGGACAGCAATTATCATACTCCTATAAAATTGTCCCATTATCATTTATGCTATGCAGCTGCACTGCCTCTAACAGCCGCTACTAGGTTTCTGGGAAATTTTTCGAAATGATGATCAAATGATGTGATTTGAGTGAGAACTGTCTCAGGGGGTTCAAACCTCGCTTTTCATTATTGACGTGCGGAACGAATGGGGAATTTTTGTTCGATTGATCTGAAAATAAGCTAATCGAAGCTTACCTGATCTGCTTTACGTAAGAGCACTTCATGTCTACCAGTGCTGCCGGCGTGGCACCAGCATCACCCCAAGTTGTCCCATAAATCTCAGATTGCTTGTAGCCTTTTGAAAGTAGATGCTTCACCATGCCCTGCAACAACTTTTCGTCTTCCCAGTCTTTAACTCCTTGCTCACCTATCATTTAAATGCACCCATCCAGAATGTTTTTTGGTGAAATTTCTTTAAAAAAACTGTCCTTTTGAATGTGATTCATACAATTAAAGCGTTTAAAATGACATTCAAGTGTTTGAAATTTAAAAAAAAATTAATTTTTTTTGCTGGAAATTAAACACAGATGATCCAAAACGAAGAAGAGCGTGCGTTTCCTCATCTCTTTATGGATTTTTGAGCTTCAAATCCTACCCAGAAAAAAGCGACTACTAAACAACAGTTTGAAAAATTTTTAAGCGGTAACCTGAAACCTGGTAATTTTATTGCCAATTCCGTGTATCAGTATAACACCCTGGTTGTTCAGCTCATCCTCATCATCCAGTTTACCGCCGAAACTTGCATCCATGCTCAGATCAGTGCGTTCTAACATTTGCGCAATCGCCACACCGTAATTGTTGTGAATGAATGCGCGAAAATGTGGCGTAAAGTCTGCGTAAATTGTGCGGAATAGCAACAGGATAATCAGCAGCATGCTTTTTCTGAATTTTAATAAAATATTACAATAGCTGTTACCAAACAATAAGAAACCAATAGTTTTTCTCAATAGGAGGGTTTTGGAACAATGAAAAAATGGGAGCGATTTCGCTCGACATGCCTTTTTCTTTTCAAAAACACAGGAAAAATACTGATTGCAAAAGTCTATCAAATTTTCGCAAGAAATGACCGAGACTGGCAAGCGAAAAAGGTGATTTCATAACAAAATCGCCTTTTCCGTTCCAGAGCTTAGTGCGTTTAGCTGGCTGCTTTCAGTTCTCATACCGGGAAAAATGACTGCAGCTCTCGACCGGAGCAGATAAATAAGGCTGTTTGATGTTGCCACAGTTCATGCCCTTTCCTCTTGTACATAATAATCGGTTAAGATATACTAAAATCCTAACCAAGAATACTACCCGAACAGAGGATAATGAGAATCGCTTGCCCCCCTCCCCCATCCCTCTCTCCCACATGGTTACACTATAAACTCGGATATACAAGCAAATATTTCCGCAGCACGAGTGTATGATGTCCAAAACCCGGGAAATATGCAGTATCTCTTCTGTATTTTTGCAAAATACAAATAAAATATTTGGTTAGTATCTGTGCTGGGACCGATTTTGCGACAACAAGCAATTTGATTCGGATACAGAATCCGCGCATTATTTTTTTTTTTTTTTTTATAAATTACCGGCAAATTAAGAGTATCGGAATATTACGACTAATTTGCAAGTCGCATCTACCATATTCTAAATGTTTGCACTCTAGTCTCAACATATATGTTAGGACTGAAATCATAAAATTCAAAATGCTTATCTGATCAATTTGCTAAATCTATCAAACTGCTAAACTTAGTCAACCAATGCGTTTGACCTTATGTCTCGTAGACTTTAAGAGTTTAACTGAAAATGTGTCCTCATACAAACATATCCATGCACGTGAGTATCACTTCTGCAACGATTTTGTAATTAACGAAGCATCTAATCTGCGGAATCGAAATTTCGGACGAGCCTCCTACTGCGTTTCGGACGACTGTGATAATTAATTCCCTTTTTGGAAGTTGCTTGAAAGTCAGATAACGGCAAAGTCACTGAAAGTCGCTGAAAAAATGGTGAAAAAATAGCAAAATTGTTTTTCTTCAGGTCAAAGGATTTATTCGTTTTTCAGGAAAAACATGCACCGAACAGTAGCAACAGCATAGGCTTGCCAGCTCACCCAGTTCAAAAACCACAGAAAGCGTTGTAAATCCACCTCGAAAAATCCTAGTGGAATTTTGATCAAAAAAAAAGTGAAATTCAACACCGAACGAATAGCAGTGGAATGGAAAGTGACAAAATACATCATGAAACGAAATGAAAAATCATTCAAGTGGTTGAG